CTCAGTGAGATGAAAAGGTATTAATCTGACTGGGCCATAAGAATGGGCAAAAAATAATGTGTATAGCAGACTGAAACGAGTGGGTTTCACCGAGGTTTGTAGAAAAGCAAAGGAAAACTGAAAGGTCTGGCTGACCGATTCTTCCCATGGTTTCTCAGGTGAAGAGTTGAAGGACATTTGCAAGAATGAACATCAAGACAGGAAGGCTTTAAGACATATACTCTGCTTGATTGATACAAAATAGGATGAAAAGAGACCATTGGATCCTGGGGACACGGAGGAACATTGGTTTAGCACAGACCGGTGTTTATGTGTACCACAGTTTTAACCATTTAGCCATTGTCCACTGTAGCTTAGAGAAAAGAACCAGAGAAGCGCGGTTGAGAGACCGTGCGATAAGAACCCTCGCTGTACAGCCCTCAAACGTGAAGCTTTCTTGCGTCCATAGTATCGAGAGCGGCAATCAGTGCCTTCGTGAATTGTTTAACTGAGCGTTCAGGAAGACAAGAACAGACATCATACCCCAACAGCCAGTTGAAAGGGTTGATTCATGAAAACACGAAGTTCTTGAGAAGCGGGAGGTGAAGTATCTGTGAAAAACTGTTGAAACTGCCCGGGGAAAAGTTCAGTACAATGCAGCGGAAGGCGGTGGGCCTCGCCAGAAGACCTACGTTGGCATCAGTTGATGAGGCAGTTGGAAGCTACAGAATTGTGTGCTGACCTACAATTGAAGTTACAGAGCAGTAGCCTGCCGCCCGGGCGAGAAGAGGAACCGGCAAATAGAAAGCATCAAAGGTACTGTCTCGATTGACTGGTTTGAGAGAGGAGGAGAGAGAAGCAGATTGGAAGCAAAACATTACTGCGTGCCCAACCGGAAAGAAATGATCACACAGACCCTTCGGCAGCGTTCAGCTGACGGGTGAAGACAGGAGGGCAGGACAGCTTCTGCCCAGAGGTCAACACACAAAGAGTATTGGTTTGAGATTTAAGACAGAAGGCACTTTGTAACTCTGATATCAGGAGTGTTAAGCATGACAAACGGTCCTGTCACGCAATGGGTTCATTTGGGTGTTACTTTGAATCCCCTTCCAAAGTTAGTCGGTTACTGCATGTGGTGTGTATTATTGAGAGCAGTGTGGCGACACAACCGAGATTTAGCTTGAGATGTTGTCTACCTGTTCCTATTCGTCGCAATTGAAGCGAAACTGCGCCAGCATGTCAGCCCTGAAGGTTACAAATCCAGGTATCTTGACTGCAAAACACCACGTAAATTGTAGAATCCGAGGTGGTTTATGCAGAAAGAAGACAATGAGGCAAGAACACTGGCTTCCCACGCGGACGACGGGGCTTAGACTGGGTCTTTCCAAGTCATAATACGGTTTGGTTTGACTGGCACCAACGTTAAGAAAAAATATCTGCATGAAAATTCAAAGCTGGGTGGAAGAAACTTTAACCTAATAAAGAGCGAGCGAATGTTATGCCAGCTTGTGCGCCAAAGGAAAAGAGAGCCGCAGTTGTCTGGTGGTGGCTCAACCGTGAAGCCCAGCACGCAAGCAGAATCACAGTCAGAGATAGACCCTGAACCGCCATCCTGACTAAAGAAAGCAAGAAGAGATAGGCGGCCCGCGGTGGACGTGGAGTTGCAATACTGGGAGGCTGAGCAAGAAGAGTGGCGTGGAACCCAGGAGGCGGGGAGATTTGCAGTGAGCCTAAGATGGCACCACTGGGGCTGCCCAGCCTGGGTGACAGCGAGACTCCGTCGTCAAAGAAAAAAAAAAAAAACTATTTTGTTGCGAATCCTTAGTGTGCGCTGAAGGCCTGGAACTTGAAGGTCGGGCCAGCGAGACCATTGCTGTAAGGGTTAACAATTGGTCCAGTTTTATGACTGGACACAAATCAGACTTGAACGTTCAATTCAATTTCTTCCTTTCAGAAGAGGGAGAGAAAGGGAACCAAACCACCTCTATTATTTAGTTTTTTGTACCTATTATTTGCTGCAACAACAGCGGGCCAGTACTTTCCAACAAGATGCTGTGTATAGGCTATTTTACATTCTCCTCAGTCAATGGCTGAACTGACAGTCTTCGAGTGTTACACTCCAACTAAACTGTACAGTAAGGTTCTGCAGAAATGGATCAATATTTTTCTATCTTTATTTACAAATATCACATTTGAAAACTGGATTCTAGTGAAATTACAGTTTAAATCCATTGGCTTAAGAAACGATATACATATTGTAGAACATTGGCAGTATTAATACAGTATCTATTCTAGAATATTTTCGATGTTATGATTCCACATTTGTTAATACCTGAAATTGGAGATTTATGCACATTAAAGAATGACTAGGCACATGGTGCTCACTTTAAATTGAGGGCAGGGGGCTAGGGCTAATTTTATCATTTCAGGAAACATCTTCAAAGTGCACACAGTTAAAGCTTGTCTTTGGATTGGTTCAGCGTTATCCTTTTGGTTATCCACTCTTTAAAATGAAGATTGACACAGAAATTAGGAGGGCCCCTTTCTAATTTACAGGATTTTAAAAATCAGTTTGAGATTCTTAGGAGGAAGTGTTGTTTGTGAGATAATAATAATAATAAAAACCCTGCTGCGAAAATAAAGCTGAATGGAAAAGGGCTTGAGAGGTACAGGGCAGAGATCTGTCGGGCAGGTCGTCCTGCCTTGGGCTGCAGCTGCCACTCAGGCGCACGGGCCTCGTTCAAGTAAACTAGTCGTTTGTAGTTGATAATGAGAAGAAGGAAGTTCAGCACGTACGTGACGACGCAGATGATGCAGAACTCCTTCAGCACAAAGTACAGAATGTAGGCCAGGTACAGGGACCCCACGACCGACATGATGGAGGACGTCATGGGGATCAAAGCCGCCACGGTGCTTGCTGTCATGCCTGTAAGAGAAGAGACGCGGGCTCAATCAGGCCTTGGCGCTGGAGAGAGGCTTTCTGAGTGACAAAGACTAACACTGTGTGACTTGCTACGGTGTTTGAATACTGATCTTCCTGCCAAACTCTGAAAATTGAGAACAGAAATACTGGTTTGTTATCAGTTAAAATCAAAACTATACGGGTTGCTCTTTAGCAAAATGCCAGTTTTTGACCTTTTTTTTTTTGTTTTTTTGACGGACCAGTGTCTCACTGTATCGCAGGCTCGGGAGAAAATATAATGGCACGAATTCTCAACTCAGCACCCTCACTGCTTGGAGTTTAAACAATTCTGCACTGCCTCAGCTCTCTCCAGAGTAGCCTATTGGTATTTACTCAGGCTTCAGGCCTAGGGTTGGGGTGGGCCACCATGCTATGGTTCCATTTGTATTTTGTGAGACGTGGCTTTCTTTGTTGGTCAGATTTGTCTCACCAACTCCATTAACTCCATAGGTGATCCATCCATCGCTCAGCCGCCTTCAAGAGTGCTGTGGCATTACAGGCGTGGCACCGCCATGATGCCTGGGTCATTAAGATGCCCAGTGTTATTAGCTTGCTCATGTTTTTTGTTCTGCAATCTTTCAGACGTGAACATCTATTACTAATGTCTTCCAACTAAACCCTAGTTGAAATATGCACACAATAGCTAATGAAGTATGCAGTACACCACCGTTCACCATTTAATGCATGAACGGCTGACTTTTGTTAACATTCATAACAGCGAGACACCAAGCTGAATAACACGGGACTCATCGAGAGGACCGCAGCCTTTTTTTTCGAGCCTGTACCACATAATTTGGTGAGAACCTCTCTGGTTTTCACTCAGCCTCCCCATCTGTGGAAAGTACAAATTTGCTTTTCCACTGTCTTATTGGATTCCAAGGAATTGAGTTAAAATCCACAAATGAGAGGGTAGAGGCTGCGGCTTACGGGCGCAACCAATATTTAGGCTCGTTGGCTCCGATGTTGAGTCTAAAACTGATCGGCAGAAAAATGGGGATGTGTGCTAACCGCCAGGTGTCTCAAATACAAGGAAAGGGCTACCTATATAACACGCATCGCACGGTCAACTCATGCTGTAGTCGGCCTAGCACATTTTGGCGTGCGCGGCAGTGGAGATGATTTCGAGGTCAGGAGTTTTGAGACAGCCTGGCGCCAATTTATGATTTTGTGATCCCGTCGTCTACTAAGCGCATAAAATAAACAAACAAAATAACAGTGTGTGTGCTTTGTATTGTTATGTGTCCTCAGTATCCAAGTGATGGCGATGGCTCATGATGTTATTCTGATTATGTGTGAGGGAGAGGTGCAGTGAGCCGAGATTGCGGCGCACTGCACTCCAGCCTGAGGGACAGAATGAGACTCTGGTCTCAAACGAAAAAAAAATGAAAAAAAAAGGTGGAGGGGCGCCAGGCTGGAAGTTGGGCGTTCAAGTCTTGTTCAATCTCGCAGCCTCTTCGGGGACGCGCCTGAGCGGCGCAGATCAGCAAGGTCAGGAGCATTGAGACCATCCTGGCCAACATGGTGATAAACCTGTCTCTGTACGTAAGAGACTCACCAATCATAGTTAGCCAGGCGTGGTGGCGGGCACCTGTTAGTCCCAGGCCTCAGGGAGGTTTGAGCCAGGAGAGATGGTGACCCAGCGTGAGGGGCGTGACTCCCTTGCTTAGCTGAAGCCCAGGATCACACACGCTGCACTCCAGCTCTTGGCCACCGAGCAGAGACTCGTTGTCTCCAACAACAACAAAACAGAAAAAGGGTCCTCATAACCGAGGACCAACAAGGAGAACCATAAGCATCGCGTACTTCGGCCTCCTATCGTTCACTGTATTTTTTAGTTGCCCTGTGGCAACAGTATGGGAGAATATGTGCATATTATTTTCAAGGACTAGAGAAGCAGTACGCATGCTTCAACGGCCCTCCTACCCCATGACTCAAGCATGGATATAAGTTGTTATAACTCCACGCAAATCAGGATCAAAATAAACAGATGGGCAGCAGTTTAACACAGAAAGTCAAGGTAAAGAGCTGAAATTCCCGGTGCTGCTTGGCCAAAAAGGAAAAGCAACAAGAAGACGCCTATGGGCTGGCTGGCTGGCTCGGCCACACAGCCATCGGGTGGTACTTAGATGCTTCATAGGGCACTATCAAGACTAAGGGCTGCCGATATCTCTCGAGATGTCTGCAGGGGACTAGCAAATCGTGGCCAGCATACCTGACCTTATCAGATAACATTAAAGTTTTTTTGGCACTCAGGCATGCTCATTCAGTCTGTATGTATGTCTGTGGTGGCTTTCAACCACTAGAAGGCAGGTTGAATGCGCTGACAGGCGCAACTGGCAAGTCATTTTCTGCCAGGCCCTTCTTACTGAAAAGTTTGCTGAGTTCACCTACTGCATAACTGACCCCGCAACTAGGACTTCAAATCTAATGCCGTTGCGCAATTGCTATCATACGAACAGTTAATTTCACAATGAGAGCGGACACCTCTTTTCTCTCCTGCATTGCACTCGTCTTTCATCCCAACTGTAAAATTGGGATAACAATCATGCTTACTTCCCAAGACTGCTGGACAATTAAATGAGCTGAGATAATGCAGGGTTAAAGCACTTAGAATAGTGTATAAATACCAGCTGTCCGTTACATACTACCGTAATGCAACTAGGTACTTGTGGCTCAGGGTAAAATTCCCAATGGAATTTAAAATGTGCTGTAACTCTAAATAAGTGATGGTACAATTATGCAATGGATTATTCTGCAGCTGTAAAAAAGAATGAAGACATTTAATAAACTGAGATGGAAAAATCACCACCATATATCCATCAAACAAAAAAAGAAAAGAACGGCCGGGCGCGGTGGCTCAAGCCTGTAATCCCAGCACTTTGGGAGGCCGAGACGGGCGGATCACGAGGTCAGGAGATCGAGACCATCCTGGCTAACACGGTGAAACCTCGTCTCTACTAAAAAATACAAAAAACTAGCCGGGCGTGGTGGCGGGCGCCTGTAGTCCCAGCTACTCGGGAGGCTGAGGCAGGAGAATGGCGTGAACCCGGGAGGCGGAGCTTGCAGTGAGCTGAGATCCGGCCACTGCACTCCAGCCTGGGCGGCAGAGCGAGACTCCGTCTCAAAAAAAAAAAAAAAAAAAGAAAAGAAAATGCAAGCTGTAGAACAGTGGGTATAGCATCTGCCTTTTATATTTTAAAAAGGAGGAAAATTAAGATTGTGTATGTGTACTTTTTCGTATATGCAAAAAGAAACTCTAAAACAATAACAAGCTACCAGTTGGGGCTGAGGAGCAGTGAAAACCAGGGAAAAAGAGAAGGGGTGGGACAGATTTTTCTTTGTGTAACATTTTATACATATATATTTTTTTCTAAAGGAGTCTCACTCTGTCACCCAGGCTGGAGTACAATGGCGTGATGTCAGCTCACTGCAACCTCCACCTCCCGGGTTCAAGCAATTCTCCTGCCTCAGCCTCCCAAGTAGCTGGTATTACAGGTGTGCGTCACCACGCTTGGCTGGTTTTTGTATTTTTAGTACAGATGGGGTTTCACTGTGTTGGCCAGGCTGGTCTTGAACTCCTCACCTCGTGATCCACCCATGTTGACCTCCCAATATGCTGGAATTATAGGCATGAGTCACTGCATCCTGTCCTTTTTTAAAAGTTTTGAACCATGTGAATGGATTACCTATGAAAAAATTAAATTAAAAATGTATCTCAAACAGCTTAGAAGTGAGTACAGATGTGATGCTCTGGAAACTGTTGGGTTAGTTCAAACGTGCCTCCCACAAAGACACCAACATTAAAAAGCATGTGAAGCATCTAAATGCAAGTCAAAAAATGCGAATGAAAAAACACATATGATACATATGATTTAAAATATGTATATACCATGGCATTAAATTAATGGTAAAACAAAAATTTGGCTGTAGCACCTCTATCTTCAAAAGTTAATCTAATTAAAGGCTTTTCTTAGGTTCTTTGCCTTTAAGGGAAAATGCCTTGCATTTGGGCTTATACTTCATATTCTTCTCTAGAAATCCAGCAAAACAGAAATATGCAGAATACAGAGTGAAATTTCTCCCTCCTCCCAACCACCAGACCCTTTTCTATGCATTTACATGCATGTATACAAACATGTTTGTCCTATATTTATTATACCAAAATTTGCATTTTTCACTAAATAGTGTCTTTATCTTTCTAGGATATAAATATAGATCTCCTTTTTCCTTTAATGGCTACGTAGTATTTCATAGTATTTTCTAATTTATTCAACCATTATCTACTTCTAAGCTAACTCCTTTTTTTTTTTTTTTTTGCTATTTCACACTGTTCTGCTATGAGTATCCATGTGCACACATCTCTGTACTTCTGCAAGATAAATACTTAGATATGGAATTGGGCAAACTTGACAGAACTACTGAGAATGATTTAGATTTATAATTTACCTCATAACAAATCAATTTCAGATAGAAGAGTTGCATGTATTTTTAATGAACCAAATCAAAAGAGCTGACAGGTAATGGAATATTAACAATTAAAATACAAAATCATTGGTATGCAACAAGATCTTTAAAAAAGAAGAAAAATAAAATGCAAAGGTAACAATGGATGGATTTAACTCTAAAAGTATAAAAATACAATACAAATTCATAACGCTAACAAAATAGGATAAAGAATGCATAAAATGTTTGTAACATATATAAAAATGTACTATTATCGGGATCCTAATAAGTAAATGAGCAATAAAAGGAAATTAAAAAGAGTAAAATTTAAGGTAATAGGTACTAATATGTAACTATTAGCAATTTTTCTAATTATTGTCATTACATGATTAATGTAATGATTATCATTACATGATTAATATAATGATAATCATTACAATAAAGAAGATTATCATTACAATAAAAAAAAAATTTTACAAAACACGTTTTAAAAATAAAGATGGCTGGAGCTTCAGGGAAAC